TACTTTTACATGCCCTTACTTTTCTGCTGCGGGCACGCAAAATTTATATTGAACCAATTTGGAATATACCGTAGATATACATTCATGTATATTACTGGAATATTTGTTTTGAACATACTAGGTGTATTCACCTGCACATATACCCTATATGTACATATATGTACATACCTAGGATATAATTTTTATGAACTTTGATGAATATACATGCATGTATACTCCACGAACATTCATGTTAGGTATGTTCAACCATGTATATTCCCAGGATATTCCCGCAATGTTCTGTATATTTTTTGAACATTCTGGGATATTCACAGAATACCAAATGCTATCTGGGATTTTTCCATTAGTACGATTCAGACTCTTAGTCTAAAAAAATTAAGATTCGATGGCGTTGTCCTTTTGGAGATTAGGTACTGGAAGTTTGAAGACTTTATATCTCGAAAACGGTTTATAACCGTTTCGGATCAGTTGTGCTCATATTTTCGATAGCTCTTCTAGGGGACTCTTACCAAATACGGTGTTTGGATTCACAATCAGAAATTTTTAAACGCGAACGACGGAGAAGCAAACGTTTCGTAGACTTCGAGGATGGAGTCGAGATGTAAAAAAATGTGTATGTCAAGAATAATGAAAAATATCCTATCAATCGTTATTCCTCTTCTCAAGGAATGTATTTCTATAATTATCGGAAATCATCAACTTCTAACGAAAGATTCAGAGAAATTAATTTTAATAAATCATAGTTGTAGTGTTACACAAATATTAAGACACATGACACAAATATTAAGTATGAAGCAGTGGCGTAGCAAGCTTAACTCGCGCCCGGGGCAAAATATCTTTTTAGCGCCCCCCACCCTCATTCGAATTAATTCGACCCAGCAATTTTTTGTTTTATTACGGACATTTGGCGCCCTTTTGTACGGCGCGCGCGGGGCACGATGCCCCCCTTTGCCCACCCCTCGCTACGCCACTGGTATGAAGGAATGTTGGAACAAATGTGGCTTTTATTTCACAGGGCGCCTCGTTAGCACTGGTTCAAAATGGTCAATCTATTCTAACATTTTCCCGACATTAAGAAAACATCGTTTTTTAAAGAATTTCAACCGACAAAAACAAAAAAAAAGATACTTCCTACGAAAGATTTTGATGTTTAAAAGGTGCACATTTTAAAATTACTTTTCAATATACGTGGGGTGCGTCATAAACGTGTAGTAGTTCCCAACTATGGTTTTTTAATGGAACTCTCTCTATTTTTTGCGCTTTTCGGATGTATCGTCAAATTTGAATGTAAATTTATTGGAAACCTTTTAAAAGTTTATTTTAGAAGAAATTATTTTACCTGAAAAATTCACGATTTTGGAATTATTCGAAAAAATATGAAAATTTTGACCTCTGCTGGGTTTCACAGAAATTGGCGCTGTACCCTAATCGCTACGAATTTTAAAATCGGTCTTGTAGACCTCCAAGAGGACTAAACTAGCTACCTGCTGACATATGTTAATTTACGAAAAATTTCCAATAAACCGCTCAATGAGCATCCAAGGCTGCATGTTTGTTAATCTCAATAACTTGGTTATTTCAAATAGAACCTAGACATTTTTTTCGATTTTTTAATTTACCATCAAATTTTAAAGTAGCTAGTTTATGTAAGCTGTGATAACTTTAAAACTTACCGTTTCTAAGTTTTCGACGAAATTTAGAAAATAGCTTAACTTATGCTTGAATCAAGTCAACTGGGCACATGTCGTCCATGAAAAAATGCATTAAATGAAAATTTTTAATTATACTTAAAGGTATTATTAAATATAAATAATTAAATAAAGCATTATTTTCAAACAAATTGCCAAGTCTTGCCAAAAAAGGCCTATTTACTTCTCGTAACATCTCAATGCTTGTACAATTTATAAACGCATATTTTCTGCAGTAGTCGGAGCAGTTTGATATACAATATTTTTTATGTGACGGCATAGAAAAAAAATCCAATTTTGTTAAGTCTGGCGATCTAGGAGGCCAAGAAACGGGACCGCGACGGCCTATCCATCCATCTTCAAATTCTCGATTTAAATAGTGTCTGACATTTAACACAAAGTGTGTAGAAGCACCGTCATGCTGTAGCCACATATTTTGCCTTAAATAAACAGGAATATTTTGCAAAAGTTCGGGCAAATAATTTTGCAAAAAATACAAATGGCCCAACTATAAAGTCACTCATAATACAACTCCAAACCGTCCATTTACCGTCCACTGCCGCGTATTAACTGACTTCACTATTTTTGGGTTTTCTGTTGTATAATGGTGAAGATTATGAGGGTTTGGGCTACCACTCTGAGTGTCGACTGAAGTCGACTCTTCAGAAAATAATACATTTAGGAAAAAGTTAGGTGTTGCTCGTTCCATTTCCAAGCCCCATTGCAAAATGTTCTCCTAATCTCCAAGTCAGGATCCAAATCTTGGTGGAATAATATACTGTAATCATGGTACCCATTACTCTTTAAAATGTTGCTAACGGTAGATTGGGGTATATCGGTTGCCTTGGATATTGTCACGAAACTGGTAGAAGGCTCTTAAATTGCAGACAACAAAACATTCAATTGATCGTCGTCGTTTGTTCTTTTAGCTCTTTAAACACATTTTTTATAATTGACATTGTCTGTTCTAATAAATATTTTCTTAAATTTTTCTAGGCTTCTGACCAAGGGTTGTCTCCTATCGCGATATTTTTGCGCATACATTCTTTACGTTAGCAAACAATTTTGATTAGCAGATCTCATAACGAAAATCATTTCAACTAGTTCCGTTCTTTCGAAATTTATCTGTATTTATTTAACTATAAACGTTCTTATGAGTTCAGACGGAATTATGCAAATCGAGTGGGTAACGACTCGCCAAGTGGACAATAATGATCAAGTTTGACAATTGTGTGAGAGCATTTACAAAATATGTTTTAGGGATTAATAAAAAATAAAATGAACAGTGTGATGTAATAATCAACAGTGTGAAATTTATATTTTCTGGGCTCACAGACTTCAATAGAAACAGACAAACGTTTGTCGAAATAAGCAACTTTTTGAAGTTTAAAAACATGCAAGTTTAGAGGCTAATTCAACGGTTTACGGACATCTCTTCCAAATTTGGTTTTCCAAATTTGGCGCGGGTAAGGTACAGCATCGACTTATGTGGAATGCAGTAGCTGTCAAAATTTTCATATTTTTCCGGATAATTCGAAAACGTAAAAATTTTTTATAAATAAGTTTTTCAGATAAAATTTTCGACATAAATTTATATTAGAATTTGACGATAAATCCGTAAAGCGCAAAAAAATGGGTGAGTTCCATTTAAAAAACTATAGTTGGTTACTACCACACGTTTATAATGCACCCCGTATACTGGAAAATAATTTTAAAATCCGCATCTCAGAAGCACGAAAAATTATCGTGGGAGACATTTTCCTCTAAAATTTATACTTACTGAGATATCGCACTTTGAGGCACTAATGAGCAACCCTGTATATTTGTGGCATAAGTTCGAAACATTTACTAACATTCCTGTTACTAAATGATTTTAACAGTGCAACCTACCCTTCTAACCATCTGTATTGCAAGGAGGCCCAATACAATTGTTTCTGTGTAAACACTAAGCGGAAAACCAATACCTAAATGCACGCAAGTTTAATTGTTTCTACAACTTTGAAACGCGATTATTCGAAAACCTCTGACCAAAAGCAGCAAAGTAGTAACTAAAGTAAAGAGAATTAAACGCCCTTTAAAACGATGTGCCACTTGACCCCCTTGCCATTTAAGATTCTAACAAAGGAGAAACAAGAAGGCTAAAATTATTCATTTAAAGTGCCCCTTACAAATAAAATTGACGGGTCTCCGATTTTTCACATTTTATATCTACAAGAAAGATATTAAGAATGGGAAGTTTTCAAATTGACACCCGGTATAATACCGAATGAAGAAAAATGAGATCTTAAAGGCATATGTAATATTTTAAAATGTTACATTTTTATTTTGTTTTCTATGTTTTGTAAATTATTTATGTATCAAAAGTAGGAGGTTCTTATAGGTCAAAAAATATCGCAAAATCTGAATAAAGCTCTTACTTACGTGGTAAGCACCAAACTTGGGAAACAAGTAGCACGCGTCAAAGAACAGTCTCAGATTAACAATTGCTCTTTTCTTAAGGTCCTTAGGGTATAAACTGTCATCTTTTGCGTATTTATCCACCAAGTACTGCATGATCACATGACTAAAATATCAAACCATTAGTGTGCCCTATAGGTGAAGGTAATATATTTTCAATGTACACTGCTTTAAAACATTTTTTTTTTATTTAAAAGTAAAAAAAATGTTTCCTTTAATAAAATCGTATGGTGAAGGCATGCATAGTTTCATTTTTTGAATTAATGCTTTTAGTGAATCTGCTGCTAATGCAGATGGTGCTTATGAATTAGATCATTCTGTAAAAGTATTTCCATTCCTGGCTTAATAGTTACATTTTGTTTGCTTTCATACATTTTTCATCCCTAAACCATTTAAATCTATTTTCACCATTTTGAAGTGATAACTTTTTATGGAAGGGTGAACCGATTTTTCTCGGTCACGGCGATCCGTAACGGCGGCTCCCACTCCGGCCTCTTCGCGCCTGAGTCTTGGAAAGCACATATGCACTTTGAATTCGACATTTTCCTCTTAGTGCGGGTGCATCTGTAGATCTGATAAACTTTTCAAATACACATTGCGTTATGAAACTGACAGTTATTTTGATATTATTGTGTTCGGTGCAGTTTATTTTATAACGCTGATAACAATGAATCAACAAATTAACAAGGGAGAAGCTGCAGATATTGCAAATACTATGTAAGACTGCTATATTCCCGTTTGAGTTTTACGTTCTTTTTAATTTCCAATTAACGTACACACACAATTGTACACACTAAAACAGTTTAAGCGCAAAAAATGCGGATCGTCCATAAATTTGCAGAAAAATGTACTACAAACTTTTGAAAATCATGTTCAAACGACCGGGTATTTATCATTGCAAATGAGATTGTCTATTGCCGTGTACTGTTAAATATTGTTCTAAGAACTAACAATCGATGATTTGACACACAAAATTGAGCCTAAAATCCACTACAATAAATTTTTTGAAAAATTGTTGGACCTATTTTAAATCGCCTGATTGATTGTGGACGCAAATTTGTATCAAGAAAAGATTAAATTAAATTAAATCGTATCGATACAATCCCGGTACCGATTCCATATGTCTTACTCTCCGTCTGTAGTCCAGATGCTGCCCTGATGATGTCCATTTACATTGTATTGCACGATTCAAAGTTCCGATCTCCTAAAATATTACTACCTACTTGTTTAGTGATTTTCATCGAAAACAATTATTAAACCAGGTGTTGAGCGGATATTCTCTAAAGAAGGCAGGGTCAAACTGTCACAACTATTAGTAATAACTTTTAATGCAATAATATGTTCTATTATTTGTCATTTTATTTTGTAGCAACAAAAAATCAATATTTAGATATCTATTTTGTGAGCAATTATATTTAACATAAAATGATAAAAATCATTACTGCTTTGTAATAATATATAATAAATCTGTTTTGAATTTAATTAAAAAAATATTTGACTTTAACTCGATTATTTGAGAAAACATGGGTTCCGTCTTCTTAATTTCTATCACACAAAAAAGCATTCAGTAATAGATCAACTCAAAGTAGCTTTCATCAACCACGAACTAGTGCTGAACGTCAAAGATTTTATAAAGCAAATAAGCAATTACGACTAAAACATACAGAAACTCAAGAAGAAAAGTTTACCCAAGAAGAGCAATATCAGAAGCAAGAAATAATCTGTTATCCCTTGTCTCTGAGCAACATGTACAACCTCTCGTTGAAGAATGTTAAATGTTGCAAATAAAAAATATATTTTACATTCAAAAGAAAATTAAATTACATTTTACCTATTCCTGATCCATTTATAAATTATTAGACTAACAAGAATATTCAAATTATAAAATAAAATTATTACTGCCATCTTGCATTAAACAAGTTCAATATTTTATGGTTTCTATATATTTATAGAAACTATGTTATCACTTCTGTCGAGCGTCCCATGACACACCATTTTTTTTACTTTACTGATAGGATAACCCTGTATTATGAAAAACGTTTCAAAGGTAATTTGGATCAACTTTCAGAGGAAATAAATACTTCTCCGAAACAAAAAATCTGCAGGTAGGGATCAAATAACGGCAGAGGTCTTAAAGTCTCTGGGCGAGGAGGGATTAGAGGTGTTTTACAAAAACTGAAACCTGACATGGACAGGACAGTGGCCTGAAGATTCGCGAGAGTCGCTGTTTATTCCAATATTCAAAAAAAGGGTCCGCAGTTAGAATGCAGCAACTACAGAGCGGTTTCACTTATCTCTCACGCTAGTAAGATGTTCCTGCAAATCATACATAACCGTCTTAAACAATTTTTTTTGCCACAGGTTTCAGAGGAGCAAGCCGGTTTTGTGCCAGGAAAAGGAACTAGGGAACAAATATTAAATACCAGGCAACTTATTGAAAAAGATAGAGAATTTAATATCCCACTGTATCTGTGCTTTGCAGATTATCAAACATTTTTTGATAAATTAAACTGGAGCTGTCTTTGGACCATAAGAAAGGAAATGGGAACTCTAAAACATATGGTCCAACTAGCGCGCAACCTCAATCAGAAAAACTGCGCAAAAATCGACGGGAGCAACTCGGGGAGCTTCAGAACGAGTACAAGAATTAGACAGGGCGGCATTATTTCACGCTTCTGACGAATAAGTCATAAGAGAGGTTCTGGATGAGTGGCAGGGAGACAGACGATCAACAACCTGCGTTACGCCTACCCAGACAGCACAAGACCTCTCTAAGATGTCTTCTTTATGCCGTTATTACGTCTGAACGTCGTATGTCTCTTTAAGATGTCTACTATAAGACGTCTTGTAAATTCCTGGCACCGGACGTCTTTAAAACATGTTAAAGAAGTCTGCTACAAGACGTCTTGTAAATGCCTGGCACAAGACGTGTTTAAGACGACTTTTAAATGTCTACTACAAGACGTTTTGGCGAACTTGCTCGAGGGCATCCAATTACAGTGAAAACATTTAATTTCGTCTATCAAACGAATATTGCGGTTAGTTATACCACAGCTTATATATCATACAGCTAGGGCACTCTCCATCGGAACACGATATCTCGTCGTTTTACTCGCGCAGCCCGTAAATCCCGCCTCTGGACGAAAAAAAGCACATTGGCGTTAGATCGCGGTGTATATTGTACCAGCCTCTCATAGTCGTAGTTGTTGCGGTAATATTATTAAATACGATCCATATTAGTAGATGCGATGCATAAATTAAATACCATAAATACGATTCCTTTTTCAAACCAATTTTTTTTGAAAGGTGTATCACACAAAGTGATGTTTGCATGAAATTTCTTCAAATATAAGAAGTTACATATTTTAATCATTCATGCAAATATTTTCCCTCAACTTTTGTGAAGTAACTGTTTTTCAGATTAAGAATTTAATAACAATTTCAAAAACATCAATAAAAATAAATTAATTATATGGGGTAATCAATAAATATAGCAGATACCAGATATGTATATCGCTCATTTGCAAGAAGGCAGACAGTATACAGACTCTTCGTATATATGTGATACTGAATCGTTAAGCTTTCAGAGGGTTCAACATTCTTAACACATTTAATTAAGTATCGTATTACCGTGATGATTACTTTCTTTTTTTTACATTTACGCTTCATCAAAAATGTACTTCTTTCATTGGTTTTTGATTTACCAAATAGAAAGTTCTTAAACGAAACATTATTGCTACTATGACTTTTCATCAAAAAAATGTAGTGAGAAATTATTTCATATAATTTTCTTTTGTAATTTGAAGCAAAGATTGTAATTTTTTATTTTTAATGCTTAAGTATTCCAATATACTACCAATTAAACATGGGACAATTTCAAAATAATGCTTAATAACAAAGTTGAAATTATATTTTCAACTGTAATTCAATCATCTAGAAATTATCGGAAAAAAAAATTTTTTAATATTTTTTTCTCGTACTCTCCAAGTGAGCCCGTATTACCCCTTAAAAATAATAACGCCAATTTCGAATCAACCTGTATGATCCGCTGTTAGAAGGGCTACCATATCAGTTATGCACTTTGTTTGGTCCATATGAACAACAAAAGTTCGTGATGGTTTCAAAGAATTCGTTGTAATATATTTTCAGACATCCTTTTGTAGCTCTCGAGACGGTGCCATGTGAAATTATTTTTTGTTTTTGATATGATTTGAAATAACTTCAAAAATTAATAAAAACAAAAAAACACTTTTTCTAAGCATCTTTATCTAGCCAGCTATATCCAGTATTAGCCAGTATTTCTGGCAATAAAAACATTGTAGAAATGATAGGAATAGACCCTGGCAATCAGAAGCCACAACACGCCAATGCATTTTTGTCCGACTTTGTGCACAATGCAACTGAAGCTATCAATAAATGTTTCTTGTATCAAAATCAACATTTTGCAGTATATATCAATGCAATTATTTGTGGCTGCAAAATCATATGTAAAATATATTAAAGGTCATTCTGAGTATTCTTCCTGTTCAAAATGTAATGTTGAAGGAAATTACTCTGACAGGGTGTATTTTCCTGACATACATAACCTACGTATAAGGACTTGAAGTTACTTCCGACAGAAAACTGATGACAACCATCATACTGGGGAGCCAATTTTAGAAAAACTACTCAAACTTGACATGATCAAATCTTTTCCGTTAGACTATATGCAATTGGTTTGCTTGGGTGTTACTAAAAAACTCTTGTTATTGTGCTGTTGTGGTAAACCTTCAACGAAATTATCTGCTAACAAAATAGCCTGTATTTGATAGGCAAAATGCAAAAAAATTATGAAATAAAAACATGTTATTTTATTTTACATTCCCAATAGGGAATTTCCCATACAATATTCCTAACACCCTTGAAAACGTCTTTTGAGAAGACATCCCTTTAAGACGTCTTTAAGACATCTGTTCAAGACGTCTTAAAGACATTTCTTCAAGACGTATTTAAGACATCTCTTCAAGACGTCCATATTTGTAACAACAGACGTCTTGAAGACATATACAAACGTCTTTAAGACGTCTCACATATCTGAATTAGACATCTTAAAGACGTCTTTAAGATGTCTTTGTGCAGTTTGGGTATGATACACTGATCATAGCATCAACCATAGCAGTCCCCAAACTCGTGGGAAATGCCATTACTTTGTTTACATCAGCAGAAAGATGGTTTGGAAGAAATATGTTATGCTTAAATAAAGAAAAAACAAACGCATTAGAACCAAATTAAATAAAAATCAGAAACTAGACACCATTGTTGTTGAAGGGCTACAAATTTTAGTAGGTAGACTAAGTAGTCATTTTAGACTGGTCTTGCCATATTGATTACTAAAGCGCGGAATATATGCAGTTAAATTCAATCAAAATATGCGCATATATATGCATAATTTTTATTGCAAATATGCAATTATATGCATTTATTTGGCCAAATATGTAATGGTATGCATTTATTTAACATGTGAAATTACTTTTAAAAACATACAAACATTGA